TGGGATTTTCAGAATAAAAGGCAAGGATTTGATGTATAGGATTGTTGCATTTTGAAATCAACAGCAAAGTCTGTTAAACAAGCACAGTCATGTTACTTTGCTGGAGTTCTACCAGAGACTTGTCCTGTGCACAGTCTTGCAGCAACAGCACTGCCACAGCTGGACACATCTGCAAATTGTGAATTTGTGTTCCCCATGTATGAACACATGTATGATGAAGAAGCCAGTTCAATTTAACTTTTCATGTTCTACCTCTGCGGGATGGTGGGGAAGCCTTGGCAAGTGCAGCCTGCTAGGGCTGGTGGGGGGACAAGATGGGGGTTCAGCTTGCCCATCCCTGCCTGATGGTGGCAAGGCTGCTTGGGGGCACACGTTGGCCTTCCCATGGTCCCATCCCCTCGTGCCCTCCTGGCACCTATGACCATGAAGCAGATGGGAGAACCCTGCCCACTGCCTGCAGGATCTGTTCACAGACCTGCCAGTCATGGCCATGTGGTGCCACCCGCCCCAGCCAGCCCCATGGGTGCCCCCGCTGCATGGTGTGGAGATCGCTCTCACCGGTTTTAAACCGGACTCTTGCCAGCTCCATGTGCTCCCAATCCTCGTGCTGGGGAACGTGATGAAAAGCAGACCAGGACTCAGGTTCCTTGTGAGCTGTGGCTCTCAATCAGTGCAGTGTTGGCCTCACCAACCCAGACACTTCCCCACATCAGCCCAGAGGGACAGACCAGTGACACGGTCTGAGCACCAGAGGCAGCCCTCTCCTCCCTGCCAGCCAGCCGCCTACTTCTTAGAGCGACTGAAGAAGGTGCCAGATGCTGCGGGCAGCCTGGGACCTTCAGCCAGTAGAAACGCTGCACCTGCACTACCCAGCGCCTCCCTGCCACGGCTCTGCCTGGTGATGCCATGTACCCAGCCAGCACCCCCACACCCAGGGAGGAAAGACCCTTCCTTGTGCGGCCTGAAGGCTTCAACTACACTTTGGGTCTTGGTGAGAGCCACTCATGCCCATAGAAATTGCGCTGAAAAAGGGAGAAGTAACAAAGCCTCGGCTGCTGGATGGACACAAAACTGGTGCTTTTGTGAAATGATGGCTCAAGGGGAGGGGGAGAGGGCCTGCAACAGGTAAAAGGAAAATGTCTCATTCCTAGCTCAGGAGCTTGCTGGCAGTGTTCCAGCAGTGCTGCCAACAGCCCCTCTCCACCAAACTCCAGGCAGGAGCTCTTGGCACTCATGGACCAAAAGGAGGAAGAGCCTCATGCTTCCTCCCTCAGGGAGGCTGCAGCCCGGCCAGACCCCTCCTGGAAGGTGACCAGTGCCCAGCGCTCTCCTCACGGCAAGTCAGGCACAAGGCGAGCGGCACGTGCCAGGCGGTGACGCTGCCAGAGGTGGCTGAGCCTGCAGGCAGTTGGTGCTGTGCTGCAACCAGATGGATGGACAGAAAACAGCCTCTGGAGGAAAGCCCAAGTCAGTAACTGTCCATAACATGCTTGAACTGCTCAATTTACTGTTCATTATTGTACAGCACAGGAAGGTTTCTGGCAAGGGTAAAAGAAAGTGCACGAGTCTGCAGGTCTGAGAGCAGCAGTGTACTGTTTTCTCCAACTCTTATCCCTTATCAAAGCTGAGCAGGGTGCTGCATAATAATCCAAAACATTTCTTAAGAGATGAGAGGGGAGGGCAGCAGCTGGTATTGTCGTAAGCCTGCTGCAGGGAGGGAGCTGAAACACACAGAGAAAAGCCTGTGCTTGGGAATTAAAGTTCATCTAGTACACTCTGTACTTCTCTTTCTGTCCCATGACAAGTATTCTTCATGCTGAATTCTCTGCTTGAATTTCTTTTGATGTTAAATGAGCCATACTCTGATAGCAATAATAGCTATTGGAAGATGTTCATTGATTAGTTATTGATGCTGGCTAGTTAAAGGAAGACCTTTGCTTCATGCCTCAGAGAGTATCCGACATGTTTATCAATATGCTTTGATTCACAAGCCTTGCTGATTACTGTATGCTTGCCCATCAGAAGCAGAAAGTGTTTGGGAAGTTTCTAATGAGACCTCTGCTGACCAGGGAAATGCTTGTAGCCATGATGGTAGATAGGAAGGGAGTGGTCTCCTGAGCATCTCTACTGGCTGGAAAGTTTCCAATTGACATAAGAGAAATCAGAAGGATTTACTTTGCTGTGAAAACCTTGGCTGTATTACATGGGCGCAAGTCCATCAGGTTAATTTGCTGGTCTGTATTTTTGACACTAAAGATTCTGGTATTGGTGAAGTTACTGTAATGCTGAAGGATGTTGACTAAATATTTGAGAGATTATTGTGACCCCTAATGATGTGAGAAATAGTTAAGTGTAAATGAACTGGTATCTGAGCATTTGTATTAGATTCTGCAAGTATGTTAAGAAATGGACACAAACTTGTAAATAAGGCTGCCTCAGTGACTGAAGCACATTTCAGGTGTCGCATCTTGGAATTTCTTCAAGAAGAGTACCTTCTGCCACTGTCAATCATTTTGCTCTGCCAGCCACAAAAATCATCAGTATGCCCTTACTGAAAAGATTTTGCTTTCTAAAAATACTTAAAAACCTGTAAATGATAAAATGTTAACCTTATCTCTGTGCCCCTGCTTAAAGGAACCTGCAGTTTTTTTAGGCAAGTCTGAGTGTGGCTGGTCAGAGCTGAACCTACTGACAGCAAAGCACAGGTAAGCCTTGCCGAGTCTCTGTCCAAGGGCAAACACCTCTGAACAGGATTTCTTGCTCAGTAAATTCTGGACATACTCTGTACCAACAATCACTAGTCAAAACTTTGTGCCACCAACACCTAAATAGCTAGCCAGTGTGGTGAGCTGCAGCAGCTTCCACGGCAAAGTAGCTGTGCTGGGCCTCCAGATCATTGCGTCAACATCTTCCCACAAGGAATTCAGACACACATTGTCATTCACAATGACAATGGATTATGGATTTTACAGATGTCGCATAGATGTTAACATTATTTCATCTTTAATTATTATTACGACCATAATAATAATCTCTTACGAAGAGTATATTCTACCAGAAACAAAATTGTTACTGAGTTAAGTACAGGCTTTTACGATTCGTTTGTGCTAAGAACAAGTATTTCTTTACAGGCTGACATAAAGAGGAACAATCACTTTGCAGGTGCCTTTCAAGTAGCCTGTTTTGGTGGTTATTTGGCTGATGACGCTGATGCAAAACAAGAAGACTTGCACTTGCCCTGCTGTGTGGGAAGCATTTCACACCAGCAGAGCTATTTCTTCATTCACTGTGTGCTCACAGCAGGAGGAAGAGCCCTGAGAACAGCAGGGAAGAGGCACTGGAACGCTGTCCCTCTGGACAGGCGGCTGGTGGCTATGGAGCCAAGTGTCGCGCTTGCTCTTTTCAGCTGCTTGCAAGGGTCAGCCCCCATCATGTGACACATAAGCAGTAAAGGTGGTAAAACTGCCACAGAAGTGAGAGTATTCACTGCAGCAGCTCAGCACTCAAAGTACCTACTGATGTTTAAACAACCATTCTCAGGGACAGACCCCTCCCTTGGGCTTCCTGAACAGAGATATTCTTCTTGTGGTTTGGTAGTGTTTTACAGGGTTGAATTATGAGCAGGAGATGCTTGTGGACTGACCTAGTGAGATTACAGTACCCTGCTGGAAGTCACCGACACAAGTGACCTGCAACAGCCATCTGCAGAGACAACCGGCAGAGGACAGAGCACACAGCCTAGCCTCTGTGCAAGTTTTCCAGCAGGAAGCTTTGCCAGAGTCTTTCCAAGACTACTTTCTCTGACAGGAACAGCAGGCCTTCAAAAGTGGTTCCATACTGTAAGTGAACACAAGGCTTCAGCTAAGCATGCGCTCCTACAAACACATAGTTACACAGAGGTAGTATTAATGTATGGCTTCTACCAACTGACACCTTACATTAGTTCAGAGTATTCCTTTTTACAGGAAGCTCCAGACTGAACTTATTTTCATATATTATTAAGAAAAATTAAGAGTGCAATATAACACTTAAATTACAGACTGCTGGTTTTATGCCTTTTCAAAATCTATTTAACTAACCTGATGTCTATTCAAGACATGAATTACGTTATCATGTAATGCAATTTATTCTTGTCAGCACTAATACATTTTATTAAGCAGGTCACCAAAACAGCCTTTGCTAGTTGCTTGTGCTGCAGACCTGGAAGGTCAGTGATGGGCATTCAGATGTTGTTACCAAAATAATCATGCCATTACCTAGCCACTCATCCTTGCTCCCTTGCCAGCACAAGCACCTGCGCAGTCACAAAGTGAATTCATCAGGGAACTGATACAGCTGAAAAAAATGTCAATTATTTCCATGCACAGGTAGGGATGCTCCCAGAATCCCAAAGCTTTCCAGCCTTCATCTGATGAGGGAGATGCAGGCAATGCGCCCCTTCCAATCAAGGCTGCAGTAGGAGCAAGAATCCCTGCAAGTAGGTCAGCCAGCCACAGCGCATCTCAAATGATCTGCATGAAACATCTTTAATGAGAGCCAGCTAGACGACAGCCCACCACACTGAGGCGTGGCTCCATGAGACACTAAATCACCCTGAGCCTGATCAAAGCCACTACAGTGAAGTCCAGCTGCACTCTGCTGGTTCAAACTAGCTCACAAAGCATTGAGGGGACAACACAGTCCTTCAAAACTTTATACTAGCTCAAATATGGACCCACTTCTTGTTGATTAGATACCACATGTCCCCTCAACATTGGCAAAGCCTCAGCATGAAGCAGGAGGCCGGCCACAGGCAGTACTATGTGCTTGGCCTCATTTGACAAAAATGCCTACATGCGTGCCTACATTTCAATAGGATTATTTTGCACTGCCAAGTGATGTAGTAACACAAAGAGCCCAATCAGCTAACACACAAGCATTACTTGTTTAGTCAATCCATTATATGCTGTTGGCAAAGACACCAGGATAACATAAACAAGTACATCAAGTCAGACACAGCAGCACAAAAATGTACGGTTTATTTTCAGATGTTTCATAATACTAACATACTGACATCTTCACATGAGATCTCACTGTAGCATTTGTAAAGTTAAATTTTGCACAAAAGTCAGGGTAATAAGCTCTTTGACAATGTTACCAGGCTTTGAGATGAGGTACTCTCATTTTACAGTAGGGGATAGCTAAGTGGAGATACCATTCTGAGATATTGCTTCATACTGGAAGACTAGGAAAGCGACAAGCTGGCCACAGGTTCCTGGGTTTGCAGTGTGCTCCTCCAGATGCACTAGATGTCAATGAATAATGAAATCTAAAGTTGCTACTTCCAAAAATGCTCCAAGTTGAATTTTTTCTTAAAGAAGGAAGACAGAAGTCCTCCTGCACAAGGTCTGATATTTCACAATGACATTAAAATTTTTATAAAAACAGAACAAAAGTACAGTTAAATAACTTTATTTGCTCATATTAGTTCTTAATTACTCTAATCTCCTTACGCACATAAACGCTTTATTCCTATACGTCATAAGAATTCAAGGAATTCAGATGTGCTATAGGGAACAGATAGAAAATGTAAAAAATCCCCTATTTTTAAAACAAAACACCAGAAATGCAAGGAAGATGAAACAATCAGAACGTTACTAATAAGGCAACACAAGAAACTATTAAAGTACAAAATACTGCATTTTATTGATGTTTCAGTGAGATTGTTTAGTATAGCTCAATGCTGTTAGTCCCCTGATACCAAATTATTATCAAACAAAATGTGGCATATCCAAATGCTTTAAAAAAAATGCTGCATATTTCCTTAATGCTTATAAAATCAAGAGCCAGAAATATGACCATTAAATAAATGCTATAACAAAATCTTAACATTTTAAAGGAATTAATTCAATCATTCATTACGTTTTCATGTTCCTGTTTACCTTGGATGCTCAAGGTGCAAATGACATGTTGACAGACATTTGGCATTTTTTTTTCAATGTGAAGCAGTGTAATTAGAGATGAAGACACATTTCTTCATTAGCAGACTATTGTTTCACAGAAAGCCAAGTACAGAAAGATTTCCATGTTTCCTTTGGTCTGACAATGACTGACTGGTTTCTGTGCTTCAACAGTTTTGATAGTTCATCCTGCTAAATGACCTACAGGACTGTGGATTACAATTTTATCTTCAGTTTATCCAAATATAAGTCCAAGATGTTTAAGAAGGCTAACTATTATGTAGCACAAACTCCATAAAACTGCTGAATATCATCACACAGGATACATTTGCTATACAGAATAAAATAAAGAGGGGAAGGTTTGCAAATTTTTTTTATATTAATGGAAAGCTCTTGCTCTGTGACTTAGATACCAGGAAATGTAAATCTTGTCTCTCCTGAGCAGAAGGACATGCTGTAGCCCTGACCCAGCTTTTATATGGTAGAGCAACATTTATCAGCAGAAGTGCTCCAAAATTTTGTTTAGAAACCTAATATGGTGAACACCAGTAGTTAGTTCATGTGCATCTTTAACACAGAAAAAAAGAGACTGCAGACAGTATTAGTTACAATGGTATCAAAGAAGAGGAAATTAAAACAAGATTTACACGATTCACTTGAAGAATAACAATCACTGAATTTCTGCTATACAAAGTGTACAGTGCTATTTTTTTAAATTAAATTTATGCTAGATTTTTTTAATTTATGTGGAAAAGTACATTTATGGTACTACTTTAAGTGGAAGGACTGGATTTGACAATTACATTTTATAGAGAGACATAAATAAATATGGCAAATGAGGATCATTCCTGACTGGTTTGATCTGAGGAACAATACATAGTTGTGAAGGACAGTAAGTAAGTGTACAGAGAAGGAAATTAAAGCCTGAAGATAAAGAGTGTCAGAAAAGGACAATATGCTTATGCAATTAATGGGGATCAGATTGACTATCAGCATCTGGAAACAGCAAGAGACTATCTTACACAGTAAAAAAAGCCATCACAAATTCTCTCTCTCCTTCAAAATAACAAAGCAGACAAAGACAAGCTCTTTTCAGACTTCTGTGTATATAGAATTTTAACATAGGAGATACAAATTGGTTAAAATACAGCTAAGAATAGCACAAACAAGAAACAGTACTTCACTTATCACTTAATACAAGTTTCTACAGAAAAAATCAGTCAAACATCCAGATCTTGCTGTATTCAAAGTATATATACATCTGGTAGTCCAAAAGTTACTTGTCTTGGATTTAATTTAAGCACCTTCATTACACAGTGTCCTTTACTACAAAACAGCCAAACATACATTCATAACCCTAGAACTATTTTTATAGTTAGCATACTTTAAAGTATTATGTCAGACAGGTGCATCCAAAGTTGTTTTTCTCTTTTAAAGTCTACATTAGTTACAGTAAACAGCTCTTGCGTTACTATCCATATGTAATGCAGCAACTTGTTTTAAAGGTGATTTATTTAAATGCTTTCACTTTTACAAAATACTTTAGAAAAAAAAGAGGAAATTTGCACTTCAGTTTCTCATTCTTGAAACGTGCTACTTCATGAGATAACTACGCTCTCACCCCTCTGCCCTGCAAAGGAACTGCTTAGCTTTAGGGATTGTATCCCGATCAGCCCAAGGCCCGAACGTACATCATAGTAATGCTTCACACATCTACAGTGCGACTTCTGAGGATCTCCAAGTTCTTTGCTTACAGCTGTTTAAGCCTCACAACACCCCTGTGAGGTAGATACAATAATATCCCCAATTGACAGAACCAAGACTTTTGTGTGTGTGGCACAATCACACGTAAGTGTTCACTGACCAACAAGAGCAGCCTCTGAGCCTGCAGCCTTGAAGAAAATAGTGTTCATGTTCCTGCAGTGCTTCAGGGAGCTAGACGTGTGCACTGGCATTCTCCTTCAGGCCCGGGGTGGAGAAGGTTAAAGCAAAGTGCTAGGCAGATTGCTGCTCTGCCACCTCAGGCAGGTTGTCTTGGAGTGTTTATACAGGTGGCTAGACTGGCTGAACCGTTTGCCACACTTCAGGCAGGCATAAGGCTTTTCTCCCGTGTGCACACGGATGTGTTTCTTGCAGTCTGTCAAGGTCAAAAACGTCTTGCAGCAGATCTTGCATGCATATTTCCGTGCACCTTCTACAACCAAGACGTTGTGCTCAGATAAGGCCTTCTTGCATTTTGAAAGGACGTCTGCAGATGCCCTCGTCAGCTGTGGTGGACCAGGTTGCGATGGATGCCCGTTTTCAAAAGAAGTGGTCCCATTCATGATCAGCTGGGAACTGGATGAGTTATCTTGCAGCTGGGAGCTCCTGACGGAGGTCACCACAGGCATTTTGGGGGCTATGCGGCGGTAGCCAGGAAAGCTGCTAGCTCCACCTCTTACTGAGCCCATCATCGCCCTTGACAGGGAGTGCAAGCCCAAGCCCGACCGTGGAAAATCCATGCCAAACTGTTCTGCCGCCCGGTACCCAGAAGTCTGTACACAGGGGAGACCCATCACATCCTGCATTGGTCTAACAAAATGAGAGTCTGCAGGCTCACTAAATGGATTCTCGACATGAGAGACGGTGGCCGATGAATGGCTACCAGCAGGCCCCGACTCTGGACTCATCAGATAAGAGGCATCACTGTCCATTCTGCAGTCACTGGTGGTATTTGGAATGTTGTCATCGCTGTTTTGACTAGCACCGAAGCCACCACCTCTGCTTTTATTTAGAAAATTTGAGATACTGAAAGTAGACTTGTGTTCCAGGTTATTTGACACCTCCATAATATGGATGTCTCCCACCCTATCCGTACTGGACTGTGGGTCAGAAAAGCTACGATCACTGCTCTCAGGACTCAGTTCTATCTTCTCTGCGCTCACTACTCCTCCTTCCACTTCAACAGACTCGCTGCCCTCTGCTTGGGAAGTGACATCGCTCACCTCATCTTGAGGCTCTGGGGAACTCAAGGGTTCAGACTTCACCACCACCCTCATGTGCTCTTTTTCATTCAGACTGACCTCTGGATTCTCACATGGGAAGTTGTTCTTCTCAGAAGCAGCCTCCTGATCAAAGCTGGTTTCCACCTGCGTTGCCTGGGATGCCATGGACATCTGTGAAATGTTTCCTCCACTGTTGTCAGACTGGCTGGGCACTTGAGCATCTTCCTGAGCACTGAAAGACTGATCAAACATAATAGTATTATCCTCCTGGTTATCAGCAACAGCGTCAGCCTTAGAGTTGTCCACAATCTTCAGTGAATCAGGTGAGAAGAAATCTTCCCGTGAATGAACTACTGACTGCCCACTCTCTGCAGTCACATCGGAAACAGACTCATCCATGGTAGGCCTGATGCGCTGTCTGGCCCGATCTTCAGAAGACTGTTTACGTTTGTGGAGACGACGGATAGGAAAAGTAGTGCGCTGCTCGATGTTACTTCTCATCGAGGAGCTCATAGTATTTGGTTGTTCTTCTGTGCTCTGAGTGGAATTTAGCGCAGAGCTCACGATGCTTAGTCCAAGCTGCTGGAGCATAAAAGACCTCTGCATGCGTGCATTTTGCTCTTGAACTCTATCACTCGGTGGAGACATCGGCAGCGTCCTGGTAGTAAGGTAGTGTTTGCATGCTTTAACAACAGAGTTCAAATGTAAGTGAGAAGCAGCCAGCAAGACATCCATAACGTTGCTCTCCCCAAGCATTAGTGTGGAAGTATACATCATGTCTATCAGAGCAGCAAAAGCTTCTGCTGTCACCACTTCACTGTCCAGCTGAATCATATTCATAGTCTGATCTCCTTCTGCTACTGTAAACAGAGCTCGGAAATGTGTGCTACATGCTGCCAAAACAGAGCGATGGGCTTTGAAATGCCTGTTTCCCACCACAATGACACAGTCGCAAAGCTGGCCATGAAGCCTCTGGTAGTTGAGCTGCTGAAAGATTTGCTCAAAGTGTCCTGGAAAATCCATGATCCTATAAAACAAAACAGAAGAAACTATAATATTAAAAATGGCTGAAGTCCTATTCAGACGACAGTGAAACCAGGTTTAAAAATGAAAGATGATGGCTGAAAGACAGATGAACAATAACTGATCTTAATTTACCACTGACACATTGGTACTGTATCAAAGCTGGCAATCTTGCGGAGGAGGATGAAGAAGAAAATACAGGTTCTGCCATGGAGCTAACCTAGTATAACAGCCACCTCAGCATCAGATGTGTCACAGGCAGCTCCGCTGTAAACTGAATAACACAGATCATTTCACCTCCGTTAGCTCCTGTCCAAACTAAACCACACTCTTTAGTAAAACATTTAATCCTGTTTTTTAAAAAAATCTAATTGTGAATAATCTACTGCAACCTTTGATAAATTGCTCACGTTACTAGGTAACCTCACACTGAAAAGTCTGAACTTTAATTCTCAACTCATTTAATCCAGCTTCACCTTCTGCAAATGACTTTCTGCAGTTTCTCAACTACTGTACAGAACTGTCATTCAGGTATCTGCTTTTCACACAGAAACATAGAGAAGAAAGTTAATGGAAAAGAAGGGAGACAATTCTGCACTGGAACAAGTGGTCAGCTCTTATCTCAAACTGCCACCTTTAGCTATCAGAAGTGCAATACAATTTTCTTATTCACTATAGTTTATCAGCTGGGATGCACTGAAAGTCCTCTGTTTTTCCCACAAAATAAAGAAAATGGTAGAAAGATAGAAAAGTTTTCTGACGTTAAGAGCCATCGCCGTACTTGCTATTCCTTATGAACCTTCTCGGTCCATAAGGAACTTATGGGAAGCTTTTGACAAAAAGCACTACTCAACAAGACAACTAGACAAACTCAGGGTTTTTTTTTTTTAATTTCCATTAACAGAACGTAAGTCAAATCTTAGCAGACTCACCTTAAGACTAAATAGGTGACTTTCAGTGATATCTCTACTTTTTCTCATGACAAAACAACAAAGCATAAGATTTGGGGAACAGAAAGGTTGCATGTATGGGGCATACACACACACATTTTTGTGTTCACATTTACTTTTCAATAGCAATGCCACAGTATCATGTGATACAAGAAGACTGTAAAGCAGCTAAAATAAAAGGTCAAACAGAAAGAATTATACTTTTGAAGAGGGATCAAATGTGAACCTGCCAATTTAGAAATTCTGTCCTCAAATGCACATGTTGTGAACAAACCATATGCTGTATTTGCGTATCTGCACAGTCATAAGCTATATGAGTAAATTGCATACAAAGCTTCCCATAGTCACGTCTGACCAGTAAAGAAAAGTTTGCTCTGAAATAACGTTTGTGTTTCAAACTCTCCGCAGGTGTTTCACTTTACACAATGACTTTGCTCAGAAGGTATGCTCAGGCCAGAGACAGTAGCTGCCAAGTACACGCATTCATTCAGAGGAAAACAGGTACGCCTGTTGATGTAGATTGTTAATTACTTTGCAATTTTGTTCACCTGGATGGACACAGATTAACTATTTACTTGGAAGGATCAGCAGAAAAAGCAAAACCTCAGAAATGCAAAGAGCAACTCCCGAGATTACAGGCATGGAAAAACAGCAGCACATGGCCACAAAGGCTCCCTTCAGCCTGCAGAAGCGCACAACCTGCAGCAGCTCGAAGCTCTGCACTCTCCTTTACTGCAATGCAAAAGGCAGTAAGGGAGGCAGGGCAGACTGGGGACCTTCGAGACACATACTGCTGTAAGACCATGCTGGTGAAGGTCAAAAAGCCAAGCAGTACAGGGAAGGGCACGGATAGATTTACACACTTATGCATATGTAAGCAGGCTGCTGTAGAATTAGAAAGATCCATGGGCTTCCGTCAGCAACTCGGCTCAAACTAGAAAAGTACATCTGCAATGTTCCCCAGCCTTGGATTATCACCATTAACATGTCAAGGGAAAGTGGAAGGGTTCTTGATCCTCTTTTATAAATGATACACATCTTTTGAACTAGTTCAGGAGTTACTCTGCAAGCAGCATGAGATCAGGTTTCTCATTAGGGAACAAAGTTAACACATGCTCTGTGTGCCCTTGCTCCCTGCACAACAACCCCACTTGCTCCCACGCTGCACCCCATCACACTGAATCCCCCCACGCCCCAGAGGAAGCTCAGGCTGGGCCTGAGCAAGGTTTCCCAGCCACACCATCCACTGGCAGAGCAGAACAAGCACAAGCTGTTCATGCTGGGTTCTCCATTCAGCAAGGGTACAAAGCTAGGCCCCTCTTTTCTATTAGGCCCACAGCTGTAAACCTTAAAATACTTAAAGGTATTAAAATACTTAAATTAAGTACTTAAAATACTTAAAATACTAGTGTTCTCAGCCAAAACTTGCCAGTGCCTGCAATAGCTAGGTAAGAGATGGGCAAAGCAATTGTACTCTGTAACACTTCTTGTCACTAACAGGTCTGCGGACAGGAGACTACAGACAGCTATCAATTAGGAAGGCCTTAGGTGCAGATACTCTCCGTTTTTAGCCTGTCTTGCGGCTATTATGGACACTACGGTGTGATGAACAGCTACCATTTTCTGATTCCTAGGGTTATGAAATCCCTCAGGGGCAACCTGGACAAACAAAGGGACCTGCTCAAGTTTGCAGCTTTTGCTGCACTTGGACTAACATCGGGCTACATAAAATTAAGGGCATCAGTAGTATAGTAGGCGAAGAGATCTGAATTCATGCCAGAAGAGGTGGCAAGCTAACATAAAAATACAAAGACTAAAACCATTAGGTCACCAAAAAATCTCACAAAACAGCCCCTGCCTGCCTCAGCTGCCAGGCTGGAGCTAATGTAAGAGCAGCTGCTGTTCCCCAGCCAAGAGGCAGCTGGCATTCACCCACCTCCTCCTTCTCTAAGGCACACAACATACACTTTGCAGGTCTTTGCTGGCGAAAGATTTCACCACCTAGTCCACTGGACAAAGAACCTTGCCCCTCTCCAAAGGAGACACGCTTGCAAAGAACCACAGTTTTACCTAAACACTGAAAAGCCCAAAAGCCAAGACTTCTGCTGGCAAAAATCTGTTGCCTCCAACTGTAATTGGTTCCTGTGTATTTTAAAAAGAAGAAACAAATAAATTACACTTCATGCCTTCCAGCAATGGTGAGGGTCCAGGCTTACCACGGCATCAAAAATCCCCTAATTTGGTGGCACTAAGGCTATGATGCCTCAATGCCTGAAATAAACACCATAATGAGATTTAATTAAGTACTATGTCAGAGTCTCCCTTATCTCTATAAATGAAGTTATGTAATAAAACAGAAGAATTTGAGTTTGCTGCTTTTTTTTAAATAAGAAATAGGAATACAGATAGCAGGTTATTTTATTTATCTTTCACTACCAATGCGTATGTGACAGTAAAAATAAGACGACATTTTCAAACAAAAAAATGTTAAACAAGCCGAACTGGAATTGCACAATTTTTATTTCTACACATTTTCTCTGAGAGAAGGATAACAGAAGGGAAAGTGAGGAAATGCTTCCTGGCGGTTGTAGGAGGCGGGAGGAACATAAGAGCAGACCCTGAAACTCACTGACCTCAGGCAGCAGGACAAAAGAAGATGGGGAGCCTGTGACAAGAGCCACAAGTCCCAGCCAGAAATGTCTGGAATGTGGCAGAGGCCAGGGCTGCTTTGTGAACAGTGCTGCTATGTCACTGTCTGCCTTTGCTGCTCCTGCACATCTGGTTAAACTCATGCCCTCCTTTGTTCCAGCAAGCACCATGGAGGGACGGCCTCCTCTATTAGGAAAGCCGCCCTCCAGACAGGCATCTCTAGAAAGTTGAGAGGGGACTGCCAAACAACTCTTCATTTATCTTCTTTTGCTCGCCTCTGAGATGGGCTAGGTGTTATGCCAGAGATAACACTCTATCCTTGACTTCATGGGACTGGGATCTAGGGATAATTTGGAGAGAGGAAGAGGAGGAGATGGAAGGGGCCCAACAGTTGCCAGAACAACAGAGAAACTCTCTCCTTCGCTCCATTTAGAGAACCATCACTATAGTATCAGTGTGCTCCTGGGGGGCCTGGATATTGGTCAACTTTCTTTTCACTTCACTCCCCATTCAAGAGCGACAGCTCCAAGGAACCATTTCACAGTTGTACAGCTATATGCAGGACTGATCCGCACAGTGTACAATGCTACAGCCCACCAGCAGACATCCTGGAAAACGCCAGGCACTCACCACACCAGGAAAGCCAAGGGATCTCCTTTCCCTAAGGACCAGAACTGCAGGACACTGTGGTATTAACTACAGTGACTTCCCAAAACGCAGCAGTGCTGAACCATAACCACCATCACTTAAGAAGGCAGCTAAGACAGGAGCGCTTTGCTATGCCCCATCTGCAACCAAGAACAAAACCGTTCCACTTGTATCTTCACTGCAGAAAGCACAGGCCCCAGCAGAGAGCGCTCCAGCTTCAAGGGTCATCAGAAGCAAGCCGTTCACAAGCACCCAAGCAGCTCCCAGTCTGTGCACTGCTTCAGGTCATTTTAGGAAATGCACTGTAGAAGATACAAAATACTTGAGAGCTCATGCATTGCCCTTATCAAGCCAGTCCCAGGAGGTGGTGTGTTTCAGAAGACTATGTAGTAACTCATTCGAACCAATGTCCAGAGAAGACTGGATGTGGAAAACACCAAACCACACAAGGACAGGATTTCACATCAGTAAAAAGATTGAGCTGGACTCCAGAAAGGAAGATGGGTTACAGGGATGGTCCAAGGTATTTCTGCCCAGGCAGCAATATGTATTTGAACCAGAGAAAACAGGCAAGAGTCATTGTTTTAATCAATGATTTGGTATTTCAGAATTCAGAGAGAGTCGTTGCTTACAGTCACTAAAAGTGATCGCATCCTTTGTGCACCTGAAACAAGACAAACCCCAGTTTTGCTTCAAATAACATTAATTTGGCTTGGTATTTAACTTTTACTACACCATAAAGGCTGAAGTCCTCAAGCCAGAATCAACAAACACAGACCCCACAGTGAAGTTGAGATCTTGTACAAGATCAATTGAAAATTATAAAACTAGATTTGAGTCATATATATTGCATACTATGCACACACCACATTCGGTGAGGTATCAGCTACTTCAGGTTACTAAATACATGCAGTGCATCTAAGTCAACATCGAAATGTAAGTGACTTATTTCTGGATACGCACATTCGGTCTGTCTTCCCCTCCTGCTTCGGTGATACCTTGCCTTTCAGCAACAGCTGGCCATAAAGACTCCCCTGAACCACCCGTGGGCTGCACAGCCCCATCATCCCCCTGTCAAATGACCCAACATCTCCAGCACGTGATGGGTGGGCATTCCATCACACGGTGTGTGAATGCCTATCCGGATGAAGGACAGAGATGCTCCCAACTGAGTAGTGAGTGGTTTCAGTAGCCAGTCTCTGCAGCCTTCATGAGGCTCACAGCCAGCTCCAGTTCACATCCTGGAGACCCAGGGAATGTTAGATGAAATCTTCCGCTGAATCAGATGCAGTCAGTGGGACCCAGGGAAGGCATCAGTGGTACAAACAGCAGACATCGAGTCCAGCGGCCTTTTGGAGAGCAGTGGGAAAGGGAACAACTTAGTTCTATAATCAAACAAATGACCACAAGTGAAAAGAAACTATACCAAATTGTTTAGTTACAAGTAGTTTTACTATAAATACAAATAGTCAGAGCCAGGAAAATTTTAAGGGCAAGCAATGAAAAAACATCTACGAAATCCTGACTGGAAAACAACCATTCTGCCTGTCCCTGGACTAAAGCCTGTGAAATGAAACCAGCAGGGTCAGAACCAAAGAAACACTCCCTTCATGTAACACAGTAAAGCTACAGAACTCCTTGCCATGGGCAAGTACACGTGAATTCAACAACCATTACACAGATTCATCGAAGAAAAATCAATTGAGAGCTATTAAATGCTCAGATACCACCTTTACCTGGGGAAGGCACTAAATGACAAGTCACTGGAGGCGTAGTTTTATATACACTTACCTCTCTGGCTTTCAATTTTACAGCTTGCTTTGGTATTTTCAGAAGAGTTTTAGGAGAGAACTATGATTTTTTTAAATATAAGATTGATTTTGTAAAAATTAATAAGGAAGCATTTTGATTATATGCTTAGAACAATAATTAACCTTCGAATAAAAAGTGTGCTTAGTAGATATTTAAATACTTAACTTGCCTCTTCACTGCTAGAGGAAAACATACCACAGCAGATCCAAAAAAGACCTACAATTTACAATTACACAGCCTGTGTATTAATCTCCCATTAGTTATTAACCTCAGAGTCTGTCAACTCCAACCAAATTTAACAAAGAGGAGGTGAGATACTGAATTCCCACATTTTTTGTTGAAGTTGGTGTGTGGTTACACAAGAAGCCAAATTTATAAGGACTACTTCTCACAGAGTCATAATTAATTCCCTTATTCTCTTGAACAACACAAAACACTCAAAACCAAAACCAGCCAGCTGGCCAGTTTGCACACACAGCTATGAATGAGGCACTCATGCTGCCATCTGCCCAGCCAGGCAGGTAGGAAAAACAAGGGACAGCTGGTAACACAATCACATAGCAGGAGAAGGGACACTATAGATTTTTCCATGGGAATTCAGGTTTTATTAGCACATATTTCTACTACTATTAATGGTAAAAATTTCTTCACATGGTTTCTTTCTATTCCTTGAATGATTAGCATTGATAATACTATGTAGACTTAGAGCCCCTTTTTCCATCAAATCCCTCTGCTCTAATACTTAAGCTGCAGCAAGATGGGACAAGGCAAGTATTTAAGTACACTTGCACTGAAACTACTGCAGAATCGAAAACTTTTCTCTCATTTCTTTAAAAAAGGGTTAAAGTTAACTTACTATAAAATAGTGTGAAAAATAGCAACTCTGAATAATGATCTATTTAAAATTTTATTGCTATGTCCAATATTAAAGGACAGTTTAGATTACACTGCAATCCTGAGCCACTGTCAAGAAGTCAAACCTACATAGTCAAACAAAAAAATCAAATGCAACCTCACGTTCCCCCTAAAGAAGCTTTTAAAAAGTCTGCAAAGTAATTGATTTTGTGTTACTAAAACCAACAACAAAAGCTGCCTCAACGATACTGTTCAGTAGAACGGTATCAGAAGAAATCTCACATACAAATGCACTACTGAAAACTTTAGACCAGGTATTTTTTTTTTACTTACCAGATAAACGAAGGACAATTTATTACTTGTACCTCAAACTCCATTCCCAACAATATGTATTTAAATGCATTTGATATTCTAGGTACCAAGCCTGCAGGAATCCCTGGCCTATAGCCAAAACTTGAGAGTGTGCCAATATAATATTAATAACTGTTTGCCTCTTAGCTTAAATTACATTTTACAAAACATTACAATACACTTGTACTGTGCTTAACCATTGTGCTTGAAATAATACAGCTCATAAAAAGCTCCCCTGAAGCCTGAAATACAAATGTAAACCTAGGTACGAGTCAGTGATAGAAGTGTTATTTTAGAAAACACTTTCTACTATCAGTTATGTTGTTTTTTTAACAAGCCAGCAGGACAGTGGGAGGGTAGAGGCAGGAAAAATAGAAATGGAAGTTTTCATTTTCTTTGACATCTTCAGCAAGTTTTGTCACTTTGAAACATGGAGGGTGTGCATTCTCTGCTCTGAGAGTGTTTTCAAACTGAACATATGGTGGAATTTTAGTTGACAGTAGTTAAAATGATTTCTGGATTTGCCCCATACAACTAAAGTAGACTTCAGTGTTACATCGCTTTCGTGTATGCGACAATATGGTGAGTGCCAGCCATGAAAGGCATTTTTTGTGTGTGTCTGACAAGTACTTGCAACTAGTGACTTTGATGACTGACAACTGAGCTTACAGCATCTCATTTGAGGTGTTTCCTTAGCCAGGTTTTATATATAGTTCAACTCACACAGTTTATCTCCCTATTGTCAGGGAGGGTGAGTTACAACTTGTTTAAGAATCAGAAAGGATAAACTGCACCACAAAAGCTGCTGCTGGTTGCACCAGCCCTCCAGAGAAGAGCAAGAGATTTGCATATAGCTTAGTATTTTCTCATCATCTGAAAGGTACTGCAAATAGATAGTCCAACCTATGGCAACGCCAACTCATTAATAAGCAGTAACAGCACAGCCTGCCAGCTGCAAAGAGCATTTTTGAAAGGAGCAACAAAAAGCTGCCTTAAAAAGACTAGATTTTTCTTAGACACTCTTAGTTATCTGCAGAAATGGACACTAGCTATGACAAGGCCATCCTCCTGCTTCCTCATGTTTTCACTCACCTCCTCCCAGCCCTGTGATGCATCTCTCCGGATCCTGCAGCACAGTGTGATAGTTCAGAGGAAGACACACAGGAGACTGAAATGTGACACTCCTGCATTTCGATGTGCCATCTCAGCTTGTCACCAGGGGGGTTTGTTTGTTGTAATTCTACTATTTAACACACCTGTACGGCTGTATATTCTGAACAGACCAAACACTGTTTCCTTATAATTTCTGACTAAGCCATTCATCATTTGGGCTTCAAGGTCAGTACCACAGCTTTCACAGGCATCAAAGAGTTGACGTATGCTTTTCTGGTCAACTTACAAAAGCACAGTGTTTTCTAAGTATCAATAAGAAGCAGGAAAAGATGATCATGGATTCTATTCTTGATCTCATGAAGCTAAAAAACTTTATCTAGGTAGGAGAAAATGGCTGTTCCTGAGAGCACAACGGGTTTTTAGGCATTGCACAGCGAAAAACCTGAAGAAAGCCATTTGGGCAATATCACAATTTGATTTATTTACAAAGGGAAAAGCAGATAACGCTGCTACACAGAACTGGCGATACAGCCATTTAAGGGCACAAGAAGACAAACTGCCATCAATGAGGATCGATCTGAACTCAGAGTTACATTATCAGTTCAGAAAACCTCTCCTGAGGTGCATGGTACTACGGCAGTCTCTGTCACTGCCATTGTCCTCTCACAAGAGTGCCCAGCGTTGCAAAGGAAACTCAGTTGCCAGCTTCTCCTGCCTACCATCACCCCCAGTTCATGAATCAAACCACAAACACCACACAGAACCAAAGGTCTGCAGGCAAGGATCCCAAAGGAAAGGTCAGCCACAGACAGCTCGGTGCCAGCATGATGTCTTCTTGCTCAATATGGCAATAATTTCTAAATCTAGCTCAACTTCACTATTTACCAGAGACTCCAGAATTTTAAACAGCCCTGTCCAAACACCTTCCTTGGTGATTCCTTTGCCTAAGCTTTTAACCCCAATGAAACTAGGGTTAACTGCATAATGAATAAATCTACTTTTGCCAGGAAGTGGTTTAAATCGAAGTAACAAATATTAGTTTGCCACCACCACAATGGATTCATTAGTGTTACACATCTTCAGCCTAAGCAAATAACTATACCCATATAACTGATTCGACAGATGACTACTGTATTTCAAATGAGAACTGTTGAATTATCTGCTTCTGATCTTCCCAAACTCATTTCAAAAATTCATCTTCTAACACTGTGATTTTACCCTCAGAAGGGAAAAATCTACATGGATGCACTGCACAGTTCTGTCTATTCTGGCATTGTGGTGGGTTGATCAGACACCCACTCAGCTGCTCTCTCACTCCCGCTCCTCAGCAAGATGGGGGAGAAAGTAAGATGAAAAGCTTGTGGGTTGAGATAAGGACAGGGAGTTCATTTACCAATTACCATCCAAAACACTCGACTTAGGGAAGATTAATTTAATTTATTGCCAATAAATAACACAGTAGGATAGAAAGAAAGAAAGAAAAACAAAACTAAAAACACCTTCCCCCCACCCTTCTTCCTTCTTCCCAGGCTCAGCTTCACTCCCAACTCTTCTACCTCCTCCACCCAAGCAGCACAGGGGGATAGGTAATGAGGGTTGCGGTCAGTTCATAACACTTCATCTCTGCCGCTCCTTCCTCCTCACATTCTTCCCCTGCTCCAGCGTGGGGTCCTTCCTACAGGAGACAGTTGTCCACAAACATCTCCAATATGGGTCCTTCCCATGGGCTCCAGCTCTTCAAGAACTGCACCAGCATGGGTCCTTTCCACAGGATGCAGTCCTTCAGGAACAGACTGCTGCAGCGTGGGCTCCTCTCCTTGGGGCCACAGGTCCTGCCAGGAGCCTGCTCCAGCACAGGCTCTCTACAGGCTGCAGCTTCCTCCAGGGCACATCCACCTGCTCCACTGTGGACCTCCATGGGCTTCAGGCGGACAACCTGCGTCACCATGGTCTTCACCACAGGCCGCAGGGGAATTTCTGCTACGGCACCTGGAGCACCCCCTCCCCCTCCTTCTTCACTGACCTTGATGTCTGCAGCACTGTTTCTCTCACATATTCTCACTCCTCTCTCTTGGCTGCTGTTACATAGCAGTTTCTACCCCTTCTTAAGTATGTTATCACAGAGGCACTACCACCGTCGCTGATGGGCTCAGCTTTGGCCAGCAGTGGGTCTGTCTTGGAGCTGGCTGGAACAGGCTCTAGCCAATATGGGGCAGCTTCTGGTGTCCTCTCACAGAAGCCACCCCTG